CTGGTTGGCGCAGGCTCATTCGCTGTGCTGCAGTGGAAAATCATATGAGCCACACTCAAAACCCGGGTAGATGCAGGTTAGCAAGGGACAATCCGCTTGCCATAAATAGCTGTGGCCGCCTTCTGAATTCTTTACATGGTTCTGGGTAGAGCATTTTAATTCAGGGTTTTGATTGTGACTCATATTGACCGTTGCCCATTCGCTTTTCGACCTGTTGGAAAGATCAGGGACTGTGTGGGGGCCGGCCTTTGGAGTGAGGGTCCATGAAAGAGGAGGATGCCCCACGTTTTGTTGGCAAAGAGATGAACACCTTTTCACAAGGTGGCCCTTTGCTCGAAACTGCCACACTATCTTTGAAAGGTTCCTGAATGTTTGTTTGCAGGTTGAAGAGTGTCACAAGGCCACCAAAAAACAATTGCCTTGCCGGTGCGCGCAAATCTTAGATATAGTTCTACCAAGTTGGACCTTGGCAAACTTAGCGGCTCGCTTGTGGCTTTGCGCCCGGCTCAGTTTGCAGCTCACACGAGGCAAGCCAACCTTTGCAGGGACCTCTGGGCATTTTGTCATGTTTTTGTTCACGTAAATCAGACGTCGTACGTGTTAGGTCCTGGGAAGTGCTTGAGCAGGTGAGCCCCAGTTTTCAGTTCATGGTCCGCGGCCCTAGAAGATCCCCACCCGCTGAAGTGGAATTTGCGTCAAGGCGTGATGTTTGGAATTTTGCTTCTGATTTTTTGCTTTGTGCAGAGACTTCATGGTATTCTCCGAGGACTGGTTTTTCGGATCACTTGTTGGGGAACAGGTGTTGAGAAACAAGAAAACAAGCGTTTTAAGGAGGTTGCCCATTTCCCGGGGGCTTACAGGGAAAGCGGGGCAGGCCAGTTCACTGCCGGTAATTCCTTCTCCCACAAGCGTTCCCAGTAGACACGGGGGGGGGTCCATGCCCTACACCCTACCGAACTCCTTGTTCGAGGTTCGCAAAGTAATGCTGATAATATGTGCGCCTCGCAAGCGATTGGCACAAGCCCACACACTTTGCCTGGCGTTTTCAGAGTCAAGCTGCGCGCAACTGGACATTAATCATTGCAACGGTTGCGGAGGCTCAGACCTTGTTGGACCTCACGAGAGATTGATGCAAACGAGCCTGTCGCGCAAACGAGACACCTCCAAGCAGCGAGCGTCAAGCTGAACGGCAGCTTCGGATGAGTCTGAGGGCCACGCGAGTCCAAGGGATCCGCGCGCTAGCGGGGCTCCAAGATAACACCCCGCGTTAGGCAGGCATCCGCGCGTTATGCCAACCTGCCATCTCGTAAATCCTTTTAAATCATTTTGGACGCAGGGCTCGCAGATGCTCCATCTTCTTGTCGGGCTGTAGATTTCCGCTGGCGCTGCAACGTTTGGGGAGGAGGGCTACACGTCCAAGCCGGGGCGCCCTCCTTTCCTCCTGCTCCAACGCCACCCTTCCTTGGCCAGATGCCGCCTCCGGTCAAGACACCAAATGTTCGATATCTACTAATCCCAGCCTCGGTTGGTGCGCAGGCAGGCAGACTGCGGGAAATCGCACTGGCGATCGGAGATTCCGGCACCGCTTCACATTCCCAGGGTTCCACGCATGTCATGTTAACTTAGACGAAAAATGGTAGGTTGAAAAACAGGCGGGCTTCCATCGGTTTCTGTTACTGGGCCACAACAATCTGGCCGTTTGGGGTGGCTTGTGGCTAGCGAGGTTTGGGGGGGTGGCTCCAAGGTCCCGGGCCCTCGGCTTTTCTCACTTCAAAAGCCCGCATGGCAAAACACGGCCGGACACCGTGAGTCCCCGAGCGCAAGTAAAACTAACCACGCCCAACGTTGCGTGCAAAAATGGTTGAGGGTAGCTGCTATATCTCCTGTTGAAAGTGCACGAACATGATCAGTAGTTGTTGCGGCGGGTGTTTCAATGTCAAGTTAATCTTTCCCGAACAGCTCGAAATATCCGATTGCCCGTGAACAACGGCTCGTTGACTGCGAGGCACATCGCGAAGCGAATGCAGGCTGGCTGGGCAGTGTCTGACAACATAAGAGACCAATCGTGTAGTGTTTCCTGTGTTTTTTTTGCCGGAGGCCCCCCCCTTTAAAGCTTAAAATCAACTACCCAAAAAGCATCAAAAAACGGTCCTTTTTCCCCGCGGCCACTGGAAGGGCCTGGGGGAGGCTGAATACCTACACAAAATCATCATTCACAGTGTCTGTTCCCCGAACACATGACGTGAACATCCTAGCAGCTGCTGCTGCAGCTACTATTACTTGTGACTGACTGCGAACTACTGTTGTGGGGAAATACCGTAAACCCTGTCATCTTCTGTGAGGGGAATGACATCACCAAATGTTCACCGGGCAAAAACTCGGCAACATCCAGTGTCACAAGGACGCCACGAGGAACCGGCCGCCCGCTTATACAATGATGCAAGGCGTGTGTTCCCCCGCCCCCCCCGCCCCCCCCTGACACTTAAGTTTCTGCTTGGAAGATCGCGTTTCACGAAATGCCAAAATGGGAAGGCGGACAAAACGGCTGCGGGTTCTGGGGAGGTTCAGCCGCGATACGGACAAAACACAAACGGGGGAGGTGTTTGTTTGATCCAGCCCCCCCCCCCCCTCACCAAGTTGTTTGTTGCGCATTGTCAGCGCGAGAACAGCGCAGCTGCATACCCCTGGCTAGCACTTGCAGCGGTTGATGTGATCCTTCTCAGCATTCAATTGGCACCATTTGTCTTTGAACTTACTTGGGATCTTTCTTGAAATTCATTCATCCTACTAGACATATGGGCCAGAACAGGACCAAGCTTTTGTTTGAGGATGGGAGCCAAAGCTGAGGTAGACGTGACCCATTCTGATTCACCTGCTGTTGAGGCTTGCAACTGATGGGGAACGAAATCTTGCCAGGAGGAGATTGCGCATTCGCCCTCGGCGAACGACAGCTTCGAAGCGGTTGTGCGGAAGGACTGGTAAAGGTGAAGCCCGCAGAAACCCTACTCTTCCATTTGCTCGAGAATATGTTGTTAGTTCCTCCTGCTGGTTTTTAATGGAATCTATCACTACTGGAAATGTCGTTTTTTTTTTGCCAGAGGGCTTGAGCAAATGGAAGTACTGGCGTGAATGTACTCCCTGGCTTCATTGAAGGTCTACGTAAACCTGTTTAACCATGTTGGGCGCTGCTCAAATGCCTCGGGAGTTGGGTACCCTCACCCACCCCCCAGCTAGAAGCAGGGTTGCTGTCCATAGCTACAACCCACCGAGAGGATGTGCAACATGGAAAGAGTCCACAGGTTATGCTTTCATGTTCAGGTTCTTTGGTCAGGTGAGAATCCCCTGTGACATGGCTATGGTTTGGAACCGGGGAAACATGTTCTAAATTCCTTGGTGGACACATGTCAACGACGCACCATTGCAACACATCGAAGATGAGGGATGTCTATGAAAGGAATCACACATGTTTTCTGCCAAAATGATTGGGGGGCTCCCTGTTCAGGAGCCCCCCGACTGGTTCTCATCTTGGTATTGCAAGAAGGGTGTGTCATGATTGAGGGTACCCTTTTTGGATGGTTGGAAAGGGACGCCAACCACCCGGAGGCCACCCTGAGGCCATTTTAGGGGGCCGATTCATATGTCGAGAAACCTCCAGTTGGTGTTGGTTTGGGCTTCCTGGGGCAGAAAGGAACATCAGCCTTGTTCTTTTGACTTGTGGTTTTTGAGCTTCAGTGACTCACTTCAGCAAAGCCGCAGGACATGCTCTTGTCCTTGCTCGCCCTCTGCCAGTCCCAGTTGAAGCCCCACTTGCAGCCAATGCCTGAGAGAGAACTGAAGCAGAGTGCCTCAAGATCGGGGGCAGGTGGAAGTTTTGTGTTGTTTCTTGCGTTTCTCTGTTTTTTTTCTCCTGACAAAGATGAACCTGAAAGGCAAGCACAAAAAAAAGTACCAAAAAAAAAACATTCGGCGCCTCACTCCCTGAGTTCATGGACATACTTTTGGCGTCCGAACCATGGCAACGAACAATGTTCGACGTGTCTGGCCCACAGAAGTGAGAAGTGGAGCATGTTGACATATGCCTTGGGACTAACCTGGGCAAATGACGTCCAGGTGGTTCTGGTATGTTAGTTTGTTGAGGAGTCTTGTTGTTACAACATGGACAATTGTGTTGTGTGTGTAAGACTGCTGCGCATGTTTTGCTTGCGTTCAAATGAACCTCAATGTGAACATTTAGTTTCGAGAATGCACATTACACTAATACATAGTTTGAGTTTCGTCCAGCTGTACTGCCAGGCTGTCATTGACTTGGTACGCGTGCCCATCATAAATTCGTGCTAGACCGGTGGTGCAGACAATGTTGAGAGCCTTTTTTCCTGCATTCTGAGGCTCAACTAGCACCTCTCACCATTGAGGCTCTCATGACAACCACAGGGTTGCTCTAAGATGGCTTTCCCAAACAGAGTCGATGAACCCGCCCAAAAGAAAGGGTCAGCCTGGAAATGAATCAATCTCCCAGGAAACGCACCAACAAACCATCACTTTTTGGGAGGGCGTTCCCTTGAAACCTCGGTGCCTTGGTTTCCCAAACTGGATTTTGTCAAAAGAACCCCACAAATGGAATCAACCCCAAGGGTGCACCGAAAGACTGGTTCCAAGTCATAAAGCAAGCGAACGGTCTCCAAATAATAATAATAATAATAATAATAATAGTAATAATAACAATGATAGTAATAATAACAATAGTAGTACTAATAATGATAATAATTGATAAACATATTCAGTTCCCAAAAGGAAAGCCATCTTCATAGAGGTTGGTGTCCTCAACCAACATCATCTTCAACGTGTTTCGTTTTTTGCGGGTTTTAGGGGTTATCGACGCGAAGAGAAAGTTCCAAAACATAAACATGAGCAAGGTGTCCTTAAATACAAGCTCATCTATTCAATCGACGCAAAGGGACGCGAAGAAAGAACAATCCTTCGATTCGGGAAGGTTCCAAGTGATGTTGGGCCTCTTCGGCCCCATCGCCGCGATGCTGGCGCATCTGCGCCCAGAGGCGGAGTGAACTCGAATCTCCCGAACAAGCCAAGAGACACCCACGGGGTGTGGGAAATGAGCATAAAGGTACCGGTTTATTAAGGTACATTTCCCTTGGTGAAATGTGGGGATATTCGAATCACTTTTGGAGTGCAACACCCTATCAATACACTGGGCGTCAACATTAGCAACGACGTCATTGAAGCGGTCCCCTTTTTGTTTGGGGGTCTGAAAAGCGGGTTGGGAATATGGGAGTACCCCGCCCTCCCCCCCCCCCCCCGCAACCATTGCCTGCATTTGGATGTGTTTCTGGGTTGAGGAAGGTCATTAAACCACCTTAGGAACAACCAGGACCCGCATAGTTGTGGCAATTGACCATCTTATAAACAATGGTGTCGTTGACGTGATTGCCCTTTTTGTGGTGATTTGAAGCACGCATCATGTTGAGAGTGGAACTCGAACGGAGCCCACGTTTTCGGGGCATTGGTTTTCAGGGGGCCACTTTTGATACGAAGGGAGGTTCCCTGAACGCGACCGAGTGTACACAGGAATTATATTGGAAATTTGCGTCTCACAGAAAGGACTTCTCTGCGACCATACTTTCTAGTTGAATCTCACTCCCTGAGTTCATGGAGTTTAAACTCCTGGGCAGACCATGGCAGGTAAACAATAACCAGGTCCCCCAGTAGTGCCCTTTCTCACCCCTTTTTTGGGGGAGGGTTTTTTCACTGAAATAGACTACCGAAAAAAAGTTGGTACCCTTATTCTAACCTCTCTACTAGAGGACCTAAAAGAAAGTTCGAGCTTTTTTTTTGCCAATCCACGCGGTAAGTGAGGAATCCTTCCTTAGGACGCGTTTGGTTTGGCCTGCCCATGCCCGTCGCGTCTCTTGGGTTCGTCGGACATACACCTGGAACAGTGGTCAGGATCCAAAATGTCCAGCGGTACACTGAAACAACGAAAAGCAAAGTCGGTACCAGGCGCATACTAGCCACTCTGCGAAGCAGCCAACGTCTACATGTATGTTGATATATGTTGATGCATATTTAGCTGGTGTTCCTACATGGAGCATCTTTGAGAGGTTCTAAGCGTGGACACTGCTGTTCTAAGATTTTGTCGCGCCGGTAAATGGGTTGCCCTGCGAAAGAAAAATAAGACAACATCATGCATATACTGCGCATGTGTGTGTGTGTAGTAAAAGTAGTTTACTTGCAGGGACACGTTGCCCAAGTATATGTCATCAGCTTTACGTGTGCGTGTGAAACTCCGTGCTTCCGGCTTACTACCTAGGTTTCTATTTAGTCAGGTAGGAATGCGCTTTCATTTTTTGGTATGTTGGGATACTCCGCAAAATGAAGCTGTGGCGCAAAAGGCTCCTATAGAAAGATTTGGAAACACAACACTTTTAAATGATTGGTTTTGAAGGGGAAGCTCAAAAGGTAAACCCCGAGCCAGAATTGGAAGAAATCACTTAATCAAGTGGTCTGAACATATGCACATTCGGAACAGCTGGAAAGTGCGTAGCTGGCGTCAAGCAGCCACGTTTTTTACATTGCATACCTCTTGTTGGTCATGCATGTTCTTTGAGTCGGATGACCTCAGGAACCCCTTCAAGGTCTTCCGACTGCGAAATGCCGAGCCATTTGGAGCGCATCCTTTGGTGGGTACGATGTCGTTTGGTCAAAAACAGTTATGGCATGGAACACCTGGCTTCGCACCCCAGAAAAAGTTGGCATCTGGAGTGGAGACAAACTAGGTCCGCCAGTAGTGCCCTTCCTTCCCTTTTTTGGGGGAGGGTTCCCCTACTAAAATAGACTACGGCAAAAAGGGTACCCTTATTCCAACCTCTCTACTGGAGGACCTAGCAAACCACCAGGATTGCCGCAGGCGCTGAAGATGCAGTGAAAGGAAGCCAGAGGTAGTGGCCAACACTGCATATATGTGCCCCTCAGCCCAGACCTCCAGTAATCCCCTGTTTCGTTTTCTTCCGCTCCTGGCTGCAAAACACAAGTGCCCCTTCTGCCTCCTGGCTGGAGGTTGGGTGGAAAGCATCATGAGCTCCTTTTGGTGCTCACAGTTGCCGGAGTTGGCTGAATCTGTCCAATCAACCTGGCTGGCTTTTGGGGACGAGACGAGCAGGGGTTGGTCTTGTTTACCACAACGAGCCTTACGAGCAAGCGAGCCAACCAGTTAGTCCGATTGCAACCAGGAACCTCAATGTGCTCGAACCTGCATGAAAAGGATAAGGTTGCTGTGGTTTTGAAAACGCATTGGGAGCTGCTTCCCGACGCAACGCCGTCGATTTGTGGCTCACCAAGGGTTCACACAAGGCCACCGCCATGAAAAGGCTTTGTGGCGATTTCAGGCTTGACCCCCCATTCACAGTACCACATGCGACCGTGACTAATTTTTTGCAGGTGCTTCCGTTCTCTGAAGGAGAACTAAGGTACCAGTCATGAGGGCTCCCATTTGCGAGAAGCCGTTTTGGGGGCCAACATCCAGGAGTTGCAGGTTGACACCCCGGGTTTCACGGTCCCACGGTCTTCTGGTGCACTCCAAGGATGTACTTCGCCCCTTCCGCAAATCAACCAGAAGTCCGCTTGGTTTCTCCAGAGGTCCCTCCAAAAGATCCTTGGACTTCCAGTCGCAGCTTCATTGGAAGCCAAGCTGTCGATGGCCCTGGGCGTCTTCTTCTTTTTTTTGGCAACTTGGAAGGCCTTTGCCGTGCTCCTGCCGGTTCGCCTATGCTCCGTACTGAGGCCGCCGTTAAGCGGGGGGGGGGGGGTGAGGGTCTGACATCAAACCCCGCCTGGGCAAATGGCTTCGGGATCTCTTCTGAAATTAGGTTTTCGCAACGAGGTTCACTAAAGATGGATTCAACCACGCTTGTTTATGTCTGAAATTATTTTCCGGTTATCTGTGTTGTTTGTGATTTGTTCTTTATTTTGTCGATGTCCTGTTTTCTTTGTGTCTTGTTGTTTCTTTCTTTCTTATTTCTTTCTTTCTTTCTTTCTTTCTTTCTTGTTGTTTCTTTATTTGTTCTTTCTTAGTTTTTTTCTTTCTTTCTTTATTTCTTTATTTATTTATTTATTTATTTATGTATTTCTCTCTTTCTTTCTTTATTGTTCCTTCCTTCCTTCCTTCCTTCCTTCCTTCCTTCCTTCCTTCCTTCCTTCCTTCCTTCCTTCCTTCCTTCCTTCCTTCCTTCCTTCCTTCCTTCCTTCCTTCCTTCCTTCCTTCCTTCCATTTGTTGTGTTCCTTTTGTTTCTTGCTTTATGTCGTTGTTGTGTTCTTTATTTGTTTGATATATTTGCTTATTAGTTATTCCTGTCATTGTGTGTGTGTATTTGTTTATTGTGTTGTTTATTACGTATCGTTCGGTTATGTTTATTATTTATGTATTTATGTGTTCATTGTTTTAATTATAGGTACTAATTAATTTATTTATTTAATTATTTACTTATATATATGATGTCTGTGTATTTGTTGTTTTAGTTATTTGTTTATTTATATATGTATGTGTGTGTTTTATATATATATATATATTACCATATGTTTATTTATGTATATACTTAGTTGTTTCTGCATTGATTTATACATTTATATATGGTTTTGTATGTGTTTATGTGTGTTTTATTGATGTATATGATTATTTATACAGGTGTTTTATATATATATATACATATATATATATTTGTGTTTTTTTTGTGTGTTATATATTTATTTGTTTATTTATTTTATTGTTTTAGTTTTGTTTATTTATTTATTTATTTATTTATTTATGTTTGCATTGATTTATACATTTATTTATTATTGGTTTATTTATTATTGTTTTATTGATTTATTTATTTATTGATTTAGTGTTTGATTTTGTTTGTTTATTGATTTATTGATTTATGTACACATTTTGTAGTTCCTTTCTTTATTTATTGTGTATTGTCTTTGAGTTTGTGTTATTTTGTTTCGTTTATTTCTTGTTTTGCGTTTTATGTTCTGTTCCTTTTCTTTTCTTTCATTGTCGTGTGTTTGTCATCCCGTTTTTTGTTTGTCTCATTGCTTCATGCATCTATGTGTTTTCTTTCCTTTCTTGTTATTGTTGTTTGGTTTCCTTTTCTTTGGTTCTTTATTTCCTTCCTTCTGTCTTTCTTCTTTCTTTCTTTCTTTCTTTCGTTATGTGATGTCTTTCTGTTTATTTGATTGTTTTCTTTGCTTCTTTCTTTTCTGTATCCTTCTTTCTTTTTCTTTCGAACCCAATCAACGGACCTGAATGTTCCGTCGGGTACATGAGCCGACTGGTCCTTGTCAAGGGCCTCGCTTGGTCAAATGGGAGCCACTCCTTTCAGGCCGCTCGCTTGCGCTCTGGCGAGCGCGGAACCCCCTGGCCTTGAGCCGGTGATTCTACAAGTTTTGGCGGGGGCCCTAAACAAGTAACCTCTAGACGACTATGTGTAAGCATGTTGGTAGCCGCAGCCCAGTCGCTTGTTGACTTCTCTGCACTGGACTGGAACGTGTCCATGCTCGGGAGATCAACCTCAACATGCCGCCAGGGCCTGGGCGGCCGACATCCCGGGGGATGCCTTGGTGCCCGGACGCTCACGAGCTCATCCACGGCGATGTCCTTTTTTCCAGCTTGTTGGGTGGGAAAGGCCCCCGAATCATCACGCGACTGGGGATGTAAAATATGTGGACGGGTGCTTGCTGCTATCGCATGTGCACGTGAATGCACGGTGAGGGGTCAAACGAGCTGCAAAGGGCAACCAAGGGAAAGCCACAATTTTGGTTGGTTCGCCTTGGGAAACCCTGAGGAGCTTTGTGCGTGTGTTGGAGACTAGTCTGAAGGCCTCTGAAACGCCGGGAAACTAAGGTTGACCCAGGAATACTAAGCCTAGCTACCCAGAGTGAATGATTCACCCTGGTTTGCGCTCTATGAATCCGCCGGGGGGTCGTAAATCTGAGCAAGTTCTAGCGACGAACCATTCAAACTGGGGACGAGCAGCGCCGTATACTAGGACCCGCAGAAACCCTTGTTGGTGCTAGTCTATTTTCCACTCGGGCATGGGGGGACCGCACTTGACCCGCAAAGCCCAGTGCAAGAAGCCCTTTGTCCCACCTCAAAGCCTCAAAGTTTCCTAGTTTCCCACCTCCAGGGGAGGCGACTCCCGTTCGAAGACCACGTGGGAGCTCCCGGAATCAGGTTCCCCCACCGCGGTTCCTTGCCGCTCTAGGTGCCCCAGTAGTGCCCTTTTACCATTTCGTTTTGGGGGAGGGTGCCCCTACTAAAATAGACTGCAGAAAAAAGTTGGTACCCTTATTCTATCCTCTCTGCTGGAGGACCCAGCCGCGGGAAGCGCCCGAAGCGCGAGACCCTCGGAAGAGCCCCGAGGCCGGTGCTGCAGCTTCTGCAGGGCTTCTTGCAGGCGGAGAGCCCCAAGGCGCGTCCAACGGCGCGTGGGGCAACTTGCGGCTTTTGGCCGCAGAAAAAGAAACAAAAAAAACATGGCTTGCCAACCGCGGGATGTTTTCTTTCGGCCCGGCTTAACTTTGGTGTATTTTGCCAAGGGATGTTAGGACTTGAGCTTTTTGCCCACTAATGGGTTTTCCGAATTAAACAACTAAAAGTTAAGCTTTTAGCAGTGGAGCAGAAAACAACCCAGCTTAAGCTTGCTGGTTCTAGCGATGCAGGGAAGGAGAAATGGAAGGACCACGAGGAAATCCATCCAACCGGTGGTTTCCTTTCAAGGGAGTCCACCCCGGATTTGTCAGCGAGAAATTCTCGGGGGGAAAAGGGGGTCGGGATTCAACCCTCAATGATTCAGCCCTTCAACCTTTCATTCTTGGAACGTTGGAACCCTTTGAGGGTCAGTTGTTAATGTTTTGTGTGTTTTTTTGCTGGTTCGATAGGCAGCAAATGAGCTGGAATGACCCCTATAAAGCCTTGTGGTTTCCTTTAAGGGAATCCCTAGGTTCATTCCCAACACCCTTGGTCATTCCCTACTGACTGAGCACCAGCAAGCAATACTAGGGGGAGCCCTGGTTGACGGATTCACTGGGGGGTGCGCCTTTGAATCCGGGGTCAGCACTTTTGGTTTTGTTTGATTCCCAGGCAAGATGGCACCGTAGGATCTAAATCCCGGCCCTAACCTGCAGCAGCGCTGGCAGCACGGCGACGATCAAGTGGGCACCTGCTTGTACCGAATGTATCAGAAAGAGGCAGACAACGGCTGGGGCCCTCTTGCCCTGACAATTCTGGAGACGCCGGGAATGACCAGGTCGAGGATACGGCAGTGGAAGCACCTGTAGATGCAGGAGACGCAGACCCCTTGTCAGATCGGAGCAGGCGCCTTCATGATGTGGCGTTGGAGTTGGGTGAAGCTTTCCGGATACGGCATCGATTCAGGCCAGCGAAGGCTTTAGCTTTTTCCCAAATTGAACACCCCCATCGTTAAGAGTGGCTTTTGAGCCTCTGAAAAAACTTGTATTCTTGGATTAATAGTTTTTGCGGCTAGAAAAAAGTAAGGGAGACAGTGCAGAGTAAAGAACAAATCTACACAGTTTTTGCTGTGCATGCTTCTGCATGCAACACATCTACCAAGCATCTGCTGCCCAGCCCCAATGCAGCCTAAGGTCATCTGCTGTGAAGGAAAAAATGCTTTGTTTTTTTTGTTGGGTGGGTGGGTGGGTGCGACCACATACATAAAAATATATGCATAGAGATATATATACATACATATATATATATATTATGACATACACATACATAATATATACATATATATATATATATATTCATGTGCACATACTCTTGGCAGGGCGCTTGGAGCCTCTGGGCTGTTACACCCCGCCTCAGGCGGTGCGCCTGGCAGCTCTGTCGCCCCTGCGCGCCCTGCGCGGCGCCTGTGGTTCTCGGATCCGCGTTGCGTTGAGCCGCCGGGTGGAGGGGGGGGGGGCTGGGGGGGGGGGCTCCAGCTGTGTTGTGTCAAGTGGATGGTTTTGAGCGGGCAATGGATTTTTGAGCGGGCAACGGAGCGGGCGATGTTTTCGCCGCTGGGGCTCCAGTTGGGTTTGTGTTAGCTTGGTGGTTTTTGAAGGGAAGCCAAGGGGAAACCAACCATTTTGCTCAAAGAGCATGTGAGCAATGCCCCAAAAACCAATCCCCAAAAGGGCCAGTTTAGCGGGTGGTTCGGTTCCTACTTGGTTTCATGGGGGGTTATAGTAACGCGTGCGTAGTATGTTGGTTGACCCCAAAGTCAATAGGTTTTGGGCACTGCCCCATGCGGTTTGTTTCTATTAAGGATCCTTCCCAACGGTAGGTTCCCCAACCAAAACAAGGCCCCCCCCCCCCCCCGCCCTCCGCCCAGAAGAGGCATCCCATTGTCAGGGACCAAGGTTGGGCGATTCCACCCGCAGACTCGTTTCGCTTTCTCTTTAAAAGGGGGGTTGGCTTTGGTCTAAATAAACTCTGCCCAGCTAAGGACTCCTCGTGGGTGCTTTGTTCACGTAGCCAGCAAAACGGGGTCAACCTGTCTTGAAACATTGGCCTACAGCTCACAAGTGTCCTCACTTAATTCTGGGGGGGCGGGGGGTCACAGATCATAAGGGTGCCAACTAGACCTAAGGTCCCTTTTGCCAATTGGTACCCTTTTGACCATGGTCCGACAATGAACAGGGCACCATTGGTTAGAAGGGAATCCAACGGTTAGAAGGCATACTCTTGTCACTAACCGATGATGGAGCTTTTGTTGGGTAATGTTGATGATAAGACGTACTCGTCTTGAGCTTCTTTTGGGTGATGTTCGGATCACGTCGTTGTATTGTCAAGCAACTGGAGGATTAGTTTTTTGTGGTACTATTGTCGGCATTCACATGGGGAGCTGTTACAATCCGCAAATTTCTAAGGGTACCTTCCGCATTCTTGCCAGGGATGCTTTTTTCTAGAAAACCTCCGGAAACCCAGGGAAAACGGCTGGTCATTTACAATAAAAATGGTTGAAAGGATGGAAAAGGAATCAACCCCTAGAAAATTAGTTTTTCGCAGGAAGCTCTCACACATTCAGTGCATACAGGGCTTGTTGTAGACCTTTGCCTTGCAAAGGGCTGGACAGCGAGTCCGCAAAGAATAATGGGACCCCCTTTTGGTATGTCAAGGGAAACCAAAAGGAAGCCGCCCAATAAGACACCATGTGGGGACATGGGTGGAAGCTTGTACCCCTCTTGTTGGGAAGGTCTTCCACTGGGGGCATGTCAATCCCAAAAAGAGCTCGTTCGCCGTTTGAAGTAGCAGAACCACTGAATGGTTGGCTCTAAAGCATCAGGGTTACTAGGCAATTGGGCATATAGGAGCATGCAGAGAGTTTTGTTTTAGCCGGGCTCCTTGAAAGGATACAAGTTAGCCATTTGCAACATGTTCGTTTTGGCGGGGGAGTGTGCAGTGCTGACTGGAGACGTGGGCCTGTCTCAAATCGAGCAAATTCCCTCTACCATCCAAAAAGGGTCACAGAAAAGGACTGTGGATGGACGAAATCCTGCACCACCCAAGGAAACCCTGCAATGATGATTCTCCTGTAAATACCAACAACCGTTATGGTTCAACCATGGGCTGAAAGTGGTGCGAACCGGATTTTTCTAGGGCTACCTTCCCCATTCTTTTCAGGGATCCTTCTTGCCAAGAAACCATCAAACACCCAGGGAAACAGCTGGTTTGTGAAAATAACGATGGTTGAAAAGAATGGGGAATCCACCCCTCTAATTTTGTCCATCCACAGTGTGCTAGGTTGCGGATGAGAGTCTCAAGACTGGGATGCCCGGCAACTTGAGGCTGGATCGCTTCTCGGATCACGAAGCCTGGTCGCAGGCCGGGCAACGCATTGCTCTGGACGTGTGGTCCAGCCGCGTTTGCCTTTTGGAAAAATAAAAAGCTTCCTTTTGAAAATAATAATATCTATTTCTTTAAACAAGACATAAAGGAAAACAAGCATCCCCGTGGCTACTCGAGGTTTGGGAAGCAACAAGTACCAGCTGTTTTTGTGGTAATGCTGATGTCAACCCCTGACCAAATCATCTAGGACCAAAAACCTAGGTTCTCCGATATGCGAGGTTAGGCTTGTGCTGAACATCTGCCGACTCACACCTATTGAATGTGCTGTAAACCGGGTAAACTGCGCATGCGTTTAGACAATGTACTTCTGAAAGCCCCTTCCTAAGGATCTTACTAAAGCACAGGTGTTTGTTTTTTTTAGCACCCCTGAGGTCTCACGGCTAGCACAGTCCAAAAGTGCTACACAGAAGCTCTTGGGCGGTCAGTGACCTTTAAGTGGCGTAGGCTGGCACTAGTGCCACCCAGACCTCGAGTAGGCGGGGCTTGCGATCCGTTGCAGGGAGGTTTCGTTCTGCCAACTGCCGCAAAAAGACGTTTAAACCAAAACAAATGGTGTTTCAGTGCCGGAGGCCGGGGACCGGGGCTGCTGCGAGCCGCACAAAATTGATCGGGCCTTTTGGGCCGAACTTCTTGTGAGGGTCTTCGCTGTCAAGGGTCAAGGGCGGACAGTTAAGGCAACTGTTCCTTCGGTTTCCCTTTCAGGAATTGGCGCTCTCGTAGTCTTGCGGAGCACCCTGCGAAAGGCCCTGAACTAGAATCGGGTTGTGGGCGGGCATTCAAGCCAGAGTAAGTCATCATAGCGTGTCAAAACTGGGGCTCCCTCGCCATTTTTCCGTCTGGATCCTGGCTAAACTGTTGACGTTTCAGCAGATTTCACCCCTGGCCCTTTTGATCCCTAGGGGTTTGCCCCTGGCTCAGGTGCAGGGCAGTCTCATCGACTCTTGCCTAGCGGGGGCCTTGGACCTTTGGACCTCGGGGCGCAAAGAAATTCAGTGCCCTGAGCTTGTCCGGCCACGGGTTTGTTTTTTTTCCCATGGGTTTGTCATGGGTTTGCCATGGGTCTCATGATGGGTTTCTCAATGGTTTCCGAGAGTTTGCTGCAACCCTCCTGACGCAGGTTTCCAGGCTCTCATGGCCTAGGTTCAGGAACCCTTGGAGGTTTCGTTGAGGCGTCAACGTATATTCAGAAAAGCTTGCTTGCTAGAAAAAGTTGCTTGCCGCATGAGCGCTCACAATCGCCTTGGCAAGCCTGCCTGGAAGAAGGCTTGAGCCACATGTTTGAAGAATCGCCTTGCCAAACTCGTAAACCATTGCTGCAACTTCAGTCAAGTCGACATTGTTTGCAGGAGGTTTTCAATTAGGTCACTGGCAGTATTGCTGGCAGCCTAGCTTGGGGAGCGTATAGGGGAGCCACAAGTTAGTGCTCGCGCTCTTGTGGGGGATGTGTGTTCTTGTCCGTTCAACTGACTCTTGGAAGCGCCCTGGGTTCCGGGAATTGCATTTTGGGCCGACAACTTTAATGGCAAACAATTTGGACTTATTGGCCACTCCACTCAGGCAGTCAGCTTTTCCCCGCTTCAAAGTCTTGATCTACCAAAAGCCTAAAGCTGGCCTGTGGCTGACCCTCCATTTCAGTGTTGAAAGACCAAGGGCGGAGTTGACAATTACAAAATCGACCAAATCCGCGAGTATGAGGTATCAGTGGAACTCACAACCCTTCTTTTAGTATAAATGTTCAGGCAAACCTTGTCTTTGGGGCGAGAGTGGGTCGCATGGAAGCTATATCCCATGGGAGAGCTGGGCTCGGGACAAACACATGGCTCGACCGAAGTTAAACCTGACACTGGGCCCAATGTCCAAACCGCCGTCTTTGAAGGGTGCTGCAAATAAATGGCGGTGAACATGGTCGCCTGAACAAGCAACACAATCCCTGCAGATATGCAGGGCCTGAATCGGCAATTGAATTGAACAGTTGCCAAGTTCTTAAACCGGGATCAGACATTTGGAGTTGGGGTCCTTCAGGCAATTTTGGCTGTAGTTATCACCCACTTGGATGACTCCTAAGATAACAGCACATTGGCCTAGAAGCAGCACTACACTTCTCTAATGTTCTTTGATCCAGGGGTTGATACCCCATCCTTTTCAATCATTGTTCTTTGCAAAAACCTGCCGTTTTCTTTGTGTTTCTGGAGGTTTTGTGGCAAGAGGGATCCCTGGAAAGCATGGGGAAGGTACCCCTAGATTTGAGCCACCTGTGATAATGGCTGAGCACCGGCTCCAGAACCAATCGTGTACTAGGGAGCCCTTGGAAGATGACCTGAACTCGGTCCAACAAAAGTCTCAACTATTCTAGGGGTTGATTCCCCATTCTTTTCAACCATTGTTCTTTTCAAAAACCGGCTGTTTCCCTTGGGTTTTTGATGGTTTCCAGAAAAGAAGGATCCCTGGAAAGAATGGGGAAGGTACCCCTAGAACTATCCCAACTAGAAATTGAAGCTCGCCAGCGGGTCCAATTTGTGTAGAGAAGCTTGGCGTTCCAGAGAGTCCCAGTGTAGGGTTAGTGACAGGCTCATGTTTTCTTTGCAGGGATTTTTATAAAACCAGGTCAACTGGTTGAATGAAACAGATGCTGCAACCAACCTTGCAGCACATGAGTTTCCATGCGTTGTGGTAGATGTTCTTGTGAAAGCAACGGAGGCAAACCTTAGATTTGAACAAGTTGTGCAACAAACCTTGATAAAGAGAACAACATGACCTAGCAAGGAAGTTCCACCATCCTTTCTCCAAGCTGCCAAGGCCCTGCTGAGCGTGGTGAAGATGCCGGAGGTGCAGTGGCGCTGCAGGGCGCTCGCGAGTGCGAGATGGGGCAGGGTCCTTTTGCCTTGGCCGGCACTCCGACTCCAAAGACCCCCCAGGTTTAAGCCTTAAGCTGGGGTGCTAAATTGCCAATTTTTGTTGCCTGCAGACTGACAAGGACGCCAAAAACACACATACATATTATGTTATATATATATACATATAAATGTATATTGGAGGAATTTCTTTCTTCGGGATCCCTATTTTTGGTAATTTGGAGGCAAGCAATTTCCCGGAAGGAAACTGGAGCAGACTCCCTGTTTGCCACCAGTGATCGACCTTGCAGACGAGCCAAGCAGGGACCTACAGACCTCTCCACCCCCCCCCCCCTTGTCACAAGCGAATGTATTGTTCGACCCATTGTTTCCTGGTTTAACTTAAGTCCGTGGTCCAAAAGGTTCGCCGGGTTATTTTGCTGGCAAGTGCAGCTTTCGACAGTTCCAAGTTCCATTTGCCTTCCGCTGCCTCATGAATTTTCATGGGGAACCACCTCCAAAATGGTGGACACGAGTCTCGATTGAGAAATGGATCGTTTCGGATGTGTTTGTTTTCTTTTCATAGCCAAACAAGAAAAGAAAAGACGGGGTTCCTACTTCTTAAAGTGGGAATCTTTCATAGAACGGATGGATTCCAGTGTTTCGCATTTGACTCCCCAAAGCCTGACACATGGTTGGCTGCCCCTGGAAGCCGGTCATGTTGATAACTGGCCGGTAGCCCAAGTCATGTGCGCCTGATACGTTTCTTGAGGAGTTCACTCCGTGAGTCGGTAAACGTACCAGGTGGCTAAGCAATTCATAGCTTGGCCGAACGTCCAAGTGCCAACCACGTGCTTCATGGCCAAATACGGCAACCTGCAGCCTGACCAGGGCTCTACATTCAGCCAAGCGGTTGCTTCTTAGCGGCAGCTCCGAGTGGTCGCCCTTGCTTGAGGCTTGAATCTCATCCACCTCTTTCTAGTGGAGGAGGCAGAGAGCGGCCGCTATCAGGCGCCAGCGGGGGACAGCGGTTCCAGTCACAGCCTTCACGGAAAAAAAAGCAGGTTGCCAAGTTGCCAAAGCGGGGTTTCTGCACGCAGTTTTCAGGGCGCTTTGTGTGTCTGATGCAGAGAAGGCAAAACGACGAAATGGTCGTGGAGATTGTGCTTCTGGATGTGCAAAGTTGACTGCTTTGCAGGGCCCGGGTTCTGGAAAGTTGGTTGAATCAGCAGGCCCCTTTGTTAGCGAGCAACCCACGAGCTCACCTGGCGGGTAAACAAGCTTGCTCATGATGAAGGGTCTTCAGTTCCCTTTTTTGTATTAAGATTTGTATGTCGCCAATGGCCCAGGTCTATTGTTTCTTTGGGGACAAAAGTACGGAACCTTAAGTTCACCCTTGTTGTTCGTCCACCTGACCCACACGAACCACCCAACAAAAAGTGTCTACTCCACGTTGCCCTTGCGAGCCAAATCTTGTGGCCATCCAAAGCAGTGGCCCCTGCTTTGTGTTTTGTTTCATCGTTCAAGTTGTCGGCATGCTTTCCTGGACAAAGATGCGAATCAACCCATGTGTTGTTTCAATCAAGTAATCAGCCAACCACAAGAAGGTATCCTTTTATTCCTCGGGCCACCCAGATACTTTTGACCCTGGATTAATCAACTTGGCAGATTGGTGCCCCGAAACGTGGGAGGAACCAAAATTAATCAATCGCCTTTTTATGGTCAACCAGGGGGCTGTTGGTCAGTGGTCAACAGTAGTGGTGATCAACCAAGGGATGATTAGTGATGGGTTCCCATTGAGAGTCGGGGTTTAAGTAGAACCCCTCCGAAGGAATCTGGGGACGCAACCCCTCTCGGACAAAGTGAAACGATCGCGTATTGTTGAAATGTGTTTTGCTGGTTTGGAGCCCCTCGGATGAATCCTAGACTAGCACTTCTAGGGGTTGATGTTCCATTCCTTTTACGCCATCGTTTTCAAAAACCGGAAACGGGGAAGCTAACGCCAGAAAGGTGAGCAACCCGCGAGATTAGAAGATTGGCTTCTGAATGGTTTCCACCGAAAACCATGGATTTTCTACCTAGTGAAAGCCAATTGGGAAGTTTCTGTCGTGCATCCTCTGCTTGTGTTCAATGTTCAATGCAAGCGACTTCGTAAGTAGTTTGTAAGCCTGTTTGCGCAGTTTCCCCAGTTATATCCATGTTTCTGGCATAATACACAACTAGGTCCCCCAGTAGTGCCCTTTCACCCTTTTTTGGGGGAGGGTTCCCCTACTAAAATAGACTACAGAAAAAGAGGTACCCTTATTATTCCTCCTCTCTACTGGAGGACTTAGACAAGCTTATTTGGAGGCACAACGAGCTCACCATGTAGGTGCCGCACATTTGGAATCCATTTGCGTGAGGTGCTGCTGATAGTGGTGAAAATTGTGCGATGCTTCTGACCAATTGCTAGGTGGATTAAAATTGTCCAACTCGCCTGTTCGTACATGGTTGTTGTTGGGAAACATTTTACATTGTTTGCTTGTTGTGGTTTAGTGGTTGAAATCCAACCACCTAACTGCTAAAGTTTAAAAGCTCTTGCTCCCCATCCTGTCAACCAAGCGTAGGTAACGGCGCGCACCATGGACCAGCTGCTGTCACTCTGGCGGGGATGCCTGGGCGAAGCGTGAGCGCCGCAGAAGACCACCAATCTATGGGCGTCTATGGGCGTCGGATCGTTTTAGGTTGGTTTGCAGGGAAGCCAAATGGAGACAACGCATCCTTGTTGGACTTCCATATGGCTGTGGCTCAAAAAAGTGGTGCCAAAATGGCACCTGGGTAAATGGAACCAAAGAGGTTTACAGGGAAGCCAAATGGCCATGGGTCAAAAGCGCGTACCCCCAATAAACATCCCAATCCCCACTAAACTGGACTAACATGGGTAGTGCACCTACCCCAAAATGGTACCATTGGTTTTGACTCACAGCCAAATGGAGACAATGGATGCTTGTTGGGGTTCCCATATGGCTGTGGCTCAAAAAAGTGGTACCAAAATGGCACCTTGGTAAATGGAGCCAAAGACTAAAACCCGCGTAGCCCCAGCTCTTTAATTTCGACCCATACCCAGATTTTGACACATGCCCGATATAAGACCAAACAAGGCAACAAGCTTCCAACGGAGCAACTAGGGTCAAACGAGGACAAAGGCAGCTAAGTAAGTTGCTGGCGCTGCCAAATGAGACCAACCTTGGCCTTCTAGGTGTTCCAGTAGTGCCCTTTCTCACTTTCTCACCCCTTTTTTGGGTAAAATAGACTACAGAAAAAACAATCGGGCACCCTTATTCCAATCTCTCTCTGCTGGAGGACTTAGCCTTGACAGCCCAGGCTCTCTGGCAGCCCTGAGGACATCCGAATGGCTCCTAGAGCCAACTTTGGGGCTGACCCTTTTGCTTACACACCAGGTGCCAGAGCAAACGGGTCAAAACAAATCGGATCCCATTTTGGGGTAGGTGAATTCACCACCCATTTTAGTCCTACTGGGGATTGGGATGTTCACTGGGGGTACGGGCTTTTGACCCATAGCCATGTCAGCTAAGCACCGCAATTTTTCTTCTGGGTCAATCCCATTCAATCCCGAAAAGCCCCGGACGCGCATGAGCCCCCCGAAAAAGCGAGATGCCAATCCCAGGCATTCGAGCCTTCAAAATCGAGCAGCCGTGCGACGCCAGTTTTGGGAAGAGGGTACTTTGACCCCCTCTCAACCCCCCTTTCTCCCCCCCCCCCCCGCCCCGCCCAGCTCAAAATATCAAATCCTCAAAGTGCTCTTCGACCTTTTTGCGCCTTGGAATCACCTGGCTCATTGTAGCTTTTTCTGCACGGAGGATCTCGGGAAAGAGCGGGGGACGTGGGAAGCACTTGGAAAGAGCAGCTGGAAGGGAGCCATTGGAAGCCGCTCATGACTCATGACGCGCGCAAGTGGAGGTCGGCTCGAGCCAACCCACCACTGATGCCATTTTTACTTGAGGAAGGAGCCCCAGGCCCTCCGGCCAAATTTGTGCTTGAGGGCTTTTGCAAGGAGGCGTCACTACGCTTTCTCCCTTTTGCAAGGGTTCGAAGATCATTTTTGGGGCTGAATTGAGGAGCTGCATCTCTGTGAAATGTTCAAGCTGGGTCCTTCAGTAGTGCCCTTTCACCCCTTTTTTGGGGAAGGGTTCCCCTACTAAAATAGGCTACAGAAAGAAGGTACCCTTATTCTAGCCTCTCTACTGGAGGACCTAGGGAATGTTCAAGGGCAAACTATCGGGAGTCCGAGCGCCTTCGCAGAATCGCGGACTCAGGCGCCGCCCGGAGGACGGGGAGATGCTGATCCGCCATGCGCTGCTGGACGTGCTGAGGGCTTTGGTGCTTATGCCCGGCTCCCAGGACGCGGGCTGTTCACTTTGACGGGCTGCCAACAGGAGGCTGCCCTTCAACCGCAGGCCATAGCCCAGCCCGAAAGAGCAGGTCTACTGATCCCGGGCCTGCATCCGGGCAATTGTTTCTGAGCCCGAAGCAGCAATCCACATGCGTCCGGGATAGGTTCAACGAGCAGGACGCCGAGGTGTCCGAATCAACCCCCTCGATGCAGTGGCCGTGTTGCTTTGCCTTGAGAGCCGCGTGTGGCTCGAGCCGCGCAAACAAAGGATGCCCTTCCCGTGGTTCAAAAGGGTTTCCCACCCAACAGTAAGTTCAAGAACCCTCCAATTGGAACCACTTTAGGGATGCCAGTAATTATTTAGCACCCAGAAAAGAGACTAAAGGGAAGCCAGCTAGAAGTGTCCAGCAACTATATCACTTCTCAAAACCGCTGGTCATTCCTTCTAAATGCAAGCACAGTCACCTGGTGTTCTGTGTTCATTACAGTGACATCTTGAAAATTACCCTGCAGATTAACCTGGAACCCCAAGAAGCCGTCATGCTTAGAATCTCCAAACTTGGAGACCCTCTTGTTGGGGTTCCTTCCTTCAATTTGTGGCAACCCCAGATCAGTAAACCCCTGTTTATTAATAGTGGTGTCCCTGGCTTTTGTGGGGAATCATCAGGTTGATTAATATGGGGTTGTGGAGTTGAACCCCCGGTTTCCCACTTCCTAACCTCACCACCAGACCAAACCACCATTAAGGGGAAGCTGAGCATACCACCAGAACACAATCATCACTTTTGGAGGGGAACACCATCTCTCCCGCACATCTGTCAGGTCTTGCCGGTCCCGTAGCCCGCGCCTGGCGCTGTCACCGCCGCTGCTGAGCTGCTGCTGCTCGGAGAAAATCCCGCCATGTCCGCCATGTGTGTGTGACGCTTTTTGGGGCCAACCCCAAAATGGCCAAACGGTGTTCCTGTTGGTTTCCGGAAAAAAAAAGGTACCCCCAAAGAAACACACTGCCAAAATGAGCCACGTGCTCATCAAAAACCCTTTGGTAGATGAAGCTTAGTAAGGGCCAATCCCAGCCATAAATAGCTGCGGATATCCGCCTTCTGAATTCTTGACATGGTTCTGGGTTCACCATTTTAGTACCGGGTTGTGATTGTGGCTGAAATGGCCAAAAGGTCTTCCGGTTGGTTTCCTGGACAAAAAAGAGGAGCCCCAAAAAAAGCACTACGCTGCCTGGGTATGCATGTTTTCGTTGAGGCTGCCTTCTTTGTGTGGGTTTTAAAGGGGAAACAATACCATTCCTAGGGGTGGAACCGGGGTTCTCTATTTTGACACACCCGCCTACTGTAGATGGACAAAATTGAGTTTGCGCCAGGGATGTATGAAGCCCTATGAATAACATGCTACGCCACCTAGCAAAAGGTACGGGTATCGTCCACCCATGATATGATCCCCCAACCCATCCTCGGTACCGGGACAAAGAACTTCAGGCGCATTGAACCATAGCTGACTTGTTCAAAAACAATCCGCAAGATCTGGACCTGAAATGAGGCTTGAAGCCTTTTGATGAGGGGTAAGAAACCAGCTCCAACACCACCGTTTATGTTTTTTTCCAGTGACCTCGCGCAACAGTTTGCCTCATCCGTGATGCCAGGTTCTTGCTTGGGGGGTTCTATATCGTCCTCTTTGGTCTCTTTGGTTCTGTGGTCATTCATGTTCAGGCGAATAGAAGGCTCTCTGATTGCACATTCACCTACTGGACCGCTGATTCAACACGTATTCTGCTGAACACGAGGGTTCTTACCTGGAGTCTTCATGTCCAGCAGAACATGGTGACATGGGTAATCCTTTTCTTTTGGAGACTCCCCCAAGCCCCGCCGCTGAAGTTTGGGTGAGGAGCACTTTGCAACCAGAGTTTCGCAGCCGGCCCTGGACGCACCAGCGCTCGCTCAAAGTTCAACTAGCACTTCGTGAGATCTCTCCCTTGTTTGGGGTAGTTGATGAATGCTCATGCCGTTTGGCAGAAGCTCGGTTGCTTGATGCAACCTTCAGAAGGCCTGTGGGGCCGGAAGATGCAAGATGCGCTCTGACTTGCAGCATGCCAATCAGACAACCCTACTCTGGCCTGTTCAAAGCTAACCAGAACTCTACCGTGCTTGGGACGTGTTGCTTTGTTTGGTTGTTCATCTTTCTTGGTAACATTGAGGGGTTGCGTCAAAACATGGGTTATCCTAGGGCTTCGCCATCACCAGCTGCGCTGGCCGGTCGGACAGGTGAGATGAGGAGCACTAAGAAGAACTCTGATTGGGGACCTTGTTTCAGAGCCTGGCCTCCGGACCACCCAAGCACGCGCTCGCTGCAAACCCACACGCACAAGAGGCTGCAAGGTTGCTTGCCCAACCCCAGAAAAACACGGTGTTTTCCGCACAGCGGCGGCGGCCGCACTTGCGCAAGAAAAGTTGCTCACTCGATCGCAGACTTGCCCTCCATGTCCGCCTACCGCCAAAACCTACTCTCAGGGGGCCATTTTTGAAGGGTTTGAGCGATGCAGGGGATGTAAGGGATGCTGGAACGCCCAGATGCTGGTGATGTTGGCGGGGATGGTGGCGACTGTCCGGGGCGATTTGCACGGTATTTGCAGTGTTTTTGGAAGGCCGGGCAACGTGGCGTCAGAAGCCCGTCGCAAAGTCAGGGAGGCCGGGGATGTTTTTGGGTCCAAGTGTTTGGGCCGGCAGGTGATGCAGGCAATGCTGTGCCCTCGCTCTTCGAGCTCGAAGACACACAGCGCAGCTGGATTTGTTGGAAACCACTTTGTTGCCAAGCTTCCCCGAAGCCAATGCGGAAGGACTTTCCGCCGGGAGATCCTTAAATTCCGTCCCTTAAATTATGTAAGGATTGGTGCCTGTCGTAGCAGTTTTCGTTGGCAATTTTGAAAAATTGGAGTGGCTAACCTTCCACGTTGTCCAGCCCCTCCTTATTCGCCGGCCAAGGTTTGTTTGAGGGGGCGATTACAGATGGCGAGCTTGCAAGAGGACAAATTGATGTCCCAGAGTTTGTGCCTTTGACTTGAGGCTTGAGCTTTGCCAAGCCTGGCTGAGAAGTTGCTAAGGATATTAGTCCGGGTTAACATTACTACCCACCCTGGGGGAAATCGGGGCAGGCACAAGAAGCACATGTGGCTGTGAATAATCAGGGACCCTGTGGTGGACATCAACATTCGGTGGGTCCACATATGTCCACCATTTCGGTGGGTCCACATGTGGCTGTGGCCACAACAGGATGGATAATTCGTTTCATGTGTTCAGGACCCCTTTTTCGCAGTGGCAAAGTCCAGCATCAGATGCGCCGTGTAGTCAATGCCAGTTCCCCAGCGAGGCCAACGGGAATGGTTTTCTTTGGTTTAATCCCAGGTAAGCCGTGACGGGACTTTGTTACACTGTGCCCACTTTAAAATGTTTTTTGGAACTTGGGGCGACCCCTGGAATGCCATGTGGAATGCCATGGGGTGACCCCTGGAAATGTCTAGTCTTCCCTGGTTTTTTTTGTGCGTTTGGGGGTCGGGATGTCACACTGCGGCCGAGGCTTAACCGTGATCTCGGACTGCTACGCCGCACACCGGGGCGGAGGCTCTCACGACCAAGCCGTCAAGACCCCGGGCCCCAACGGTAGTAAGCTCCGGGGCCGATTTGGGGGGGGAGTCTTGGCATGCGGTAAATTGGTATCGGCGGAATTAGGGAACAAATTTATGGCCTTGTGACTGGAGAAAGCATCCCTCTTTGCAATTGTCCATCAAGATATACGGCCACTCGCCAAAATCGATGGTCCCCAACAGTTGGTGGTCTTTCAGGGCTCCCTATAGGTCGCCTCAACACATACTCACCTATGCTCAAGGCAAGGATCACCAAACAACACGGGGGTTCTCCCTGCGGTGTCCCCTTTACAACGAACCTGAAAGGGTCCATTCCAAAATTCCAGAAAGGTCTCCAAAGCCAAGACCCGTTTAAACTTTTGGATCTGAGGCAAGAGGGAATCCGGAGCTCTCACTTGGGTTCCTGATGATTTATTGTTTGTTTAAACACCATCTGTTGGTTGAGTGTCTTTTGCGAGGGGTTCTGTACCTAGGTCCCCCAGTAGTGCCCTTTTGCCCTTTTTTGGGGGCTCCCCTGCTAAAAGACTACATAAAAGGGGTACCCTTATTCTAACCTCTCTACTGGAGGACCCAGGTACAAAATACAGCGAAGGCGTTGGGGAGTCTTGCAGTGGCCCCCTTGCAACATGAGGTTCGGTCCAACTTCGCCGGCAGTCCATGGTCCATTTGGGAGGGATACGGGACTCACGAAACTTTCCAAGGGAACTCGTGGAGAAGGTGATGTTGACTGCTCCCATACCTCTAGGGAAAGCATCGCCGACCAAAGGCTGTATTGTTTTAAAAGCCTTCCCTTTTTTGTCTTCGTTGCTTGCCAAAGAATAGGGAAACCCCCTGGTTCATTTTGAGGGTGTCTCTCCCCGTTTAGGCCAAAATATGAGTTCTTCTTGCCGCAGGTGCATGTTGCTGTGAAGTCCCCTGAGGCGTCCTTTCAGGAGGGTGGGTCAATCTCTCATGCTCAAAGCGTTACCGGATAGCTTTAGCCGAATTTGCAACACACCCCACAAACCTACCTAAGGAACAACGGGATACATATATATATATATAGATGTCCCCCTTTACATAATTGTCTATATAGTGGCGGATTTCCCTTAAGGGCATAGTTGGTTGTTGAAGCGTCCGAGAAGTAAGAGCCTCCCTTTCGTGTCACATCCAAAAGCAAACCCTTGAGCCTTCTAGGTACCGCCAAACATTTGTAGCTGACAAGATTCGTGGCAGTCTCCTATTGGTCTGAGCACGAGAAGAGGGACTCTAATTTTAAGCACAACACCCAAGGTTCCACTGTTGGGAACGAACATTGTTCGTGGTCACCTGTTTTTTTTGTTGCTCGAAATTCCCAGGCAGTCCAAGCTGCAATTTGAGCACGTTTACATGTTCTTGCTATTACGGGGAAATCTGCGAACGATTTTGCACTGAGCACTTATGTACACCTTGGTTCCCTGTACGATTAAATAACTTGCCCTTTGCTTGGCTGCTCCGCTTCCTGGGAAAACCAATTTTGGCAATCAGCTTCTTGCGAACCCCCATTAAACAGCGCTGTAGGATCCCCTCTAAATACTGTTACGGCCCCCCACCAAAGTCGCTAAGGTTGAGGGATAGACACTGGACACCAAGTGTTTGGGCGTAGTACACCTTAGCGGGCCAACTGGCCAAGTTATACCAACAGTCCCACGGTTGTCAGGACCTCTTATTGGCCGTTTGAGTCGCTATTAGCCCGTTTTGGGATTGGCCCTCAACAAACCCAGTGATCCCATTCTGTAAAGTAGGTAGCCAAGGGAAACACCCTTTCAACATCAAAGGTTAATGTTGACCCCATATGAATCAAACCCAGTATATTATTAACAGGGGGTGCCCAACTGGGTGAAATGTGGGGATTCAAAACAGGTGACCTAGTCTTCGCACCTCGCCCGTCTGGAAACCATAGGAAGAAACATGGCTCCCTTCTCCATGTTTCCTTGGACCACCTCTCTGGAAAACGGTTTGGATGCGTTGTTTGTACGGATTTCGCCTCTTCCCCCTGCAGCTTCTTTTTGAGGTACTCTGTTCGTATCCTACAGGGGTGGTGCCGCAGATTCGCGGCATCCAATGCCGTTTCTTGACTGCTATTGGGTTCGATCTTTAGACTTCAACTTTTTGGAACAATCAAGGTGTTTGCCAACCAAGCCCCGAAAAAGTTAAACTTTTTGCAGGGGGGTCAACAGCAGCCAAGGTTTTCTGGCGCTTCGAATCCGTCGCGAGCATCGCGAGCCAGGCCAAGCGCAGCCTGCCGGCGGCGGCTCGCCGGCGCTCCAGGCGCGATGTGGCTTCCTTTTGGGTTTTTGGTTTCGGGGGGTTGCCTTGACCCCGGCCAGGGCTTTTCAAGTAACTCCAGGGCTTTTCAAGTAACTCCAGGGCTTTTTCTTGGCATCTTAAATCTTTCAGTTTGTTTTCTTGGCTTTATCTTGAAACTCAAGCAACCTGCAGCGGATTTCCTTGGTGCTGCTTTGGAGGGGGGGTTTCCTGGGCCGTTGGGCTCAGGTTTTTGGCGGATTGGCTTTGTGTTCGACTTTCTTCGGGTGGGTTTCCCTCACCCCAAAACATGTAACCTGGATCTTCGTCCTCCTGAAAAAAAACGTAGTTTTCGCCTTTGACTGGATATTCGGGAAATCGTAGCACTTTTTGCCGCAAAAACCTGAAACTCCTAAATCTCCTGAAAAACACAATTGCAGTGCTCGCGGCCTTTGACAGGTTAAAAGAAGCTTTGCAGGGTAAACGACTTAAAGCAGCCCGAAAGGTTGTCAACACATGCAACGGCGGTCCAAAGTTGTGCGGTGCAGAAAAAACGTACACATGTTGACCGCACAACGCCCGCAAATCTCCGCAAATCTCCGCAAATATCCCGCAAAAACCCGCAAACTCCCGCAAATCAGAAAAAGTCGTAGTTTTGATGATCAAGGCATCCCATGGGGTTCACTGGCACGTTGGCAAGTGCTGCGCGGTGTATTTACTTTGTATGGCCAATGCACGACTGGAAACGACGCAAATCGTGTGTGTTTTTACCCAAATTGTAGCTAAACCACTGGAATTCGGTAAATCGTAGGGGTCTCCTAAAACACCCTGAAATTTCCCGGAGATTGAATGTCCAGCAAGTTCTGTTTTGTTGGGGTTCTCTCTTTTTTGTTTTTCTTGGTTCACGTTTCTGAGCGGATTTCCCTTCATGTTGTTCGCGACATCATCAATCGGGGGGGTTGCGACCGATTCACCCATGATGGAGTACTCGAGGCTTCTGTTTGGGGGTTCCCTTGCTTCAAGCCGTTGATTGTTTTTTAACCCAGAATGGTCCAAGGTCAATTGGGATATTGGGGACAAGCCAATAAAGATCGCACAAAATCCAGAAAACAAGCTCCAATTGTCTTACGCCCCTTACAGGAACTGTATGACAGGTTGATCTCCTGTTCCGGTTACCCATCAGTGTTTGAGAAACCACACACACACAAATTATGAGGTTTTGGGGATCATTGTACTAGAAGAAGGATCCCTGGAAGCCTGGAAGGAACCGGGGGAGGAGCTCACTTCCCAAACCTTCTGTTGAATAGTGGACCCACCCGGTCAACTGAAGTCACACATTTGCTCAGATTGTCAAACGGGGTTTGGATGTTTGTGTTTCGGAGCGCGAAAAAAAAAGGCACACCCATAGGCGCACCTATAGTTCAATAGGTTTGGAGTTCACCATTGACCCAGTTTGCGTTTGCGTTTGCTTCATTGGCTAGTTGAAATTGGAAGAGCAAGAACCGGTAGCCACGATACCATATTCCTCTCTACTAGGCAACGGAAGGATGAGGGGGTGCCCCCATAACAGAAAGGCTCTTACTCTCCTTTTGTCGTTTGGACAACAGGATCTCGCTAAAGGAAAAGCGGATGGGCGAGCGATTGCTGGTGTTGCCATCTCTTTCGCCGATTTTATGGATATACGATTCAATCTGCGATAAAGTGAAATAAAATCTTTACGGAGCCTCTTTGTCATTGTCAATTGCTATTTAGCAAAACCCGAAGAACACAACCTCCAGGATTTGCACTCTTCAACTGTTGTTTGTTCATGTCAATAACCCTAAGTGCTGTTCAACAAGGAGTCGGGGGATGCTCGAGAGTTGCCCCGAAGTTTAAGAAACATCCACGCGAATCCTGTGAGTGTTGGATGTCTTGTCGCCAGATTTTAATTTTAATTTTCTTATTAATCCAGACAGCCATTGCTGCGAATTCTGCGCCATGTCAGCCTTCATGTCCAGACGGCCCCGGGCCCCCAATGGCGAATGAGCGCCAAAGAGCTAGGTAAGTGAGGGGTAAGGCAGAGTCCGAACCCAACATTGGTGCGGCAGCTCTTGTATTTCTTTAATATGGATTTGGGTATACCTTTTCTGTGTCATCTTTTGAATACGACTCAAGGCGGCCCACTAAAATAGCCATTGGGGCCTAGCCAGGTTTGTTATTTCGAGTCTTTGCTACGTATGCGGCACCGGCTTATCCGCGGGTTGGGAATCGGGATTGCCTTGGTCTTTGGCTGATTGTTGCGATTGATCTCATGAAGATCATTTGCTTACGAATATGTTTTAGTTTCCCTTGTTGGTTTTAAAGGGAATCTTTCGCTGCTGGACACATTGTTTCTCAGGGGGCTGAAGCACATGGAAGATGTGTGTTGGTTTTGAAAGGGGGTATCCCTCAGTTTGCAATCGAATAATTCTGATCCGACCCGTAAGACTTTGCGGCTTCTCGGTCAACTTGTAGAATTCGGACATAGCCAAGGTGGAACATAGAACCTGACTGGAGGTTCCACGCACGAGCCGAAGGGAACCAGGCATTATCGCACTTCCCAGTTTCTGGACTGCTAATCCACTCAGGAAGCGCCAAAGATGGCTTTCTCCCTAAGGCTCCAAGGCTGCAACGGGTTGATTCCCCATTCTTCCAACCATTGTTCTTTTCGAAAACCGGATCCGTTTCCCTGGGTTTCCGAAGGTTTTCTAGAAAGATTCGGATCCCTGGAAAGAATGGGGAAGGTACCCCTAGAAAAAGGGCCTTCATCTTGGTTTTCAGGGACTCACCAAGGAATTCCCGCCCCAATGGCCCATAGAAGTCATTCTCTCAAATAAGAACCACCAGCAAGGAAGGTAGCACTAGAAACCTATTGAAGATCTTTGCCAGGCGAATGCCGAGGCTGCGGCAGGCGGACTGGGGACTGGGGGGTCGCAGGGCGTCGGCGCGTTCGCCGGATTTTGCTAGGTCCCCCAGCTAGGTGCCAACTTTCTCACCCTTTTTTGTTTGGGAGGGTTCCCCTACTAAAATAGACTGCGCAAAAGTTGGTACCCTGATTCTAACCTCTCTACTGGAGGACCTAGTGGTTGTCGATGGTCCATGGAAAGTGGACACGGAGGAAGTCAATAAAGCAAAATCCTGCAAGCGGGCGGCTCGCTAAATGTCCCCTGTCTTCTTGCGGAAAGACATGAAAGAGGTTCATTTTTGTTTGAGCGCAGTGTCCGCAGCACTGTGTGTTTCATGTAAAACCACTGTTGTATTGAATATATCAATTCACGAAAACACGCATTGCCGGGAACATGTTTTCCAACCGATTAGATAGGAGTCACAGCTTGATTGATGGCCTGACAAAGTGTCTTATTTGATCTAGTCTCATGTCCGCACATGCAATCGAAATCACCAACAAATCCGCACACTTACGTCTGCCGCTTTTCGCAATTCCCTTTGTACAAGCTCTCACTGAGCCTCTCAATATTCCCCTGGCATTTCTTTAGTAATTCCTTATTATTCTCCTAGTACGTAGTATTCACCCACAGCATTCCCCCAGTAGTCCTCGGTTCTCTTCTTGGTATTCCCCTAGTGTTCCGTTGGTATTTTCTTGGCACACCCGCTAGTATTCCATCAGTGTTCCCCTTATCCTCTTATCTTACTTTCTAGTTGTTCCCTCCGTGTTCCTCTAGTATGTTCGTTCTTCTATAGTACTCCCCGGTTCCTTTAGTTACTTCCCTAGATTTTTCCAGTATTCCCCTAATATTGTCCTAGAGTAATTCGTAGTTTTTTTTCTAGTATTCTCTAGCATTCCCCTTTACATTCCCCCTAGAATTCTCCTATTATCCCCTTGGTGTTTCACTTGTATTCCTTTGGCATTCTCTCGGCCACCATCCATGGTCATCATCACTTCCATTTGCTTGAGGCGATGTTGATTTCCCCATCGGGTTTTCAAGGAACATTGCCCATGCTCAATGTGTGATTTGTATCCTGCTTAAAGCGTTTGGACGATCAACATTGCTTCGAGTCTTTGTCGATGTCGTGGGAAAAGCATAACAGCCCACCAGAGCCCCATGGTTAAGTGACCTCTGAAGTTCCTGATTTGTTGTGAAAAACGCGGGTTTTAGAGTAACTTTCTGTAATACCAAAATAACTCCCTTGAAGTGACAAAGTTCGGCGGATTGCCATGTCCCCGACCAGGTTTGCCGATTCATGGCTAGCTCACCAATCTGCGAGGCAAAACAAGCAACCGATGAAGCCTGAGAATTGATTGTTTTGTGCGGATTATTGTAGGAGTTGTAGAGCCATGCAACTGACAGGTTTGAGATCTTCAAACAACAGCTTGGTTGAAGAGTTCTCCATTGGAGCGTCCGCCTGCTCGTGAGCCTGGACCACGGATGCGGCCTTCGAACGTCGAAGTCAACAGCTCATCCCATACATGTAGAGCAAGTAAACCAAGCACCGACCTTGGTAGGTTTGTGTTCTTTTCTGGTTTACTACTAACTCGTTGGAAGCGAACCAACCAGTGCCGTAAGAACTCGCGTTTGACTCGCTGCAACTGTCAGCGCCCGAGCCGTCCGCTTCGCAGGTGCGCTGGGGGACCAGGGCAGCGCCACTGGGAGCCTCTTTGACTCTGGCAGCGCAGGGACACCCAGTCGAGCGAGTGAGCTCCCCAGCGCGGCGCGGCCCACCTTGTTGACTCCTTCGGATCCGGTGTATGTTTTTGCCTAGGGCTGGGCTGTTTCACTAGGGCTGGTCCCCTTGGCTGGTTGGTTGGTTTGTTGGTTGGTTGGTTGGTTGGCTGATTGGTGGGTTGGCTGGTTGGTTGGCTAGTTGGTTGGTTGGTTGCTTGGTTTGGTTGGTTGGTTGGCTGGCCGCTTCCCCGGCATCACCAGCCTCACTTGGCCCGGCCGCCTATTGGCTCTGATTTCGTTGCAGTTGGGAGTTGCTGGGGCTGGTTTAAGTTCGGGGGGCTTTTGGCTGGCTTCGATCTTCACGAGGGTGGGTCTTGAGATGTCTTGAGGTGGGTTGGGGTTGATTTAGGAGACGCGAAGGGCTGACATTGCTTTGGGCAGGTTTAGCGTTGACTTTGAGTGGGTTGGGGTTGGTTTGGAGCTGATTTGTGTTAGGTGTGCTGCTGGTTTAGCAGCGACTTACGGGTTGCTTTAGGTGTGATTAAGTGCGTGTTGGTCTCGTTTAAGATCGGTTTTGGAGCGTTGCCCCAAACCACCAAACTCGCCCACAACCCCGCGGAAAACCAGCCCTAGGAGAAAACCAGCCCTAGTAAAAAACAAAAGTTTATCCCAGCCATACGGGTGGCTCGTCTCTTATTGAGGGTCCCCCTTGTTGGTTTTAATGGGAAACCAGCAGGAACATCATCCATTTTTGGGGTCCCCGAGAAAAAGAAACACACTCCTGTAGACTTGGGTTTTGGAGTCCAGAGTTGGATTTGTGACACATCAAACTTCAAGTAGAAGACCATAGGGATCAACGAACCACCAAAGTTGTGAAAGCCAGGTGCTTTGGATGAAAGGGGGGGGTTATTGGCTCGTTGGATGACAAGGGGGAGTTGTTGGCTCATTTGCGGCAAGGCGGAGGGGTTATTGGGCGAACCCTTCTACCGTGGCATTCAGGAAATGGTCTGTAGGAAGTCGATCTTCCAGCTTTCCACAGGGACCAATGTTGGTAAGGGTACTTGTTGGGAGCATGTTAGCGGTAAAAGCGGCAAAATGGCAAAGTGTTTGTTTGCCCAAGGCACTCGCGAAATGAGAATCTGAACTGGGACCTCGTGGTTTCCAAATCAAGTACACCAAGATAAGCTGCAGACGTCCAGACTGGTTCACTTGAACGACCACTCGCTGGTCTCAGCGAGCATTCGTGGCGCCCGTCCTTTTCTCCAGTGTGCCCTGGCTCAGCCGGGCCCAACTCAGAGCCCTGCTCGCGTGAGGCCCTTTGACACCCACTTCAGGCGCCTCTCAGGACCTAAAGGGGAATCAAGATGGGGGTCTAAGACCCAAAATTTCGAATTTCGACAATCCCCTTTCTCTCTTTGCCCCTGAAAGGTTGTTTCCTTTGGTGTCCCTGTAGCAAACCAACAACCAGAATCCCATTTTTGCAGGGTGGGGGCATGGCGCGACTTTGTCTTCCATGTGCTTGAGGATATGCGTTGATTTTCCCCGGTTGGTTTTCCAGGGAATCCACAGAAGTTCTCATTTTTTCCCAGTGGGCGAAAACGCAATTGGAACTCTGTTGCTCAGTGGTGCCCTTGTTTCTTTTGCTTGGGACGGGTTCCCCTTTAAAGTCAAGCAGCCAAAAAAGGACGCCCTGTTTTTGCCATGGCCACTGGGCATCTGAGGGAAGTTGTGCGACGTGTTTGTTCCAAGGTGCTCTTCCTGGGGGTCCTAAGAACCGTGGACGTGGAGCAGGCGACGGGTGTGCGAGCCGTGCGTTTTCTTTGTCTTCCCGGAAGCACGCCATCGCTGAAATCGGGATGGTGGCCTCAAGTGGGGGTTTAGACAACGAATGCATATCCAGCCCAATGGATTTCAACAACTGGAAGCAAATCCAATCATATTACATTTATAAATATGTCTCCCGAAATGTTTGTTATAATGCATACCCAGTTTCCCAGAATCGAGTTTTGACCACCTGTGAAGTTCGACCACCTTTGGGTTCCATGTTCACTTGAGTCAAGTCTGGCGATGCTACTTGCAGTCACTGAAGCCACGCAACCTCAAACCCCGGCTCGATCCTCCAGCGTGAGCCGCTGAATTTGCCGCTCTGCCTCGCGCAGCGGCTCGAGGGCTGACGTGCCCGCCTGGAGCATCTGCAGTTGGGCTGCTCGTATTTAGATTTACCCAAGCAGAAGCCCATATATATATATATATATATATACTGTATGCAGATACATTAAGTTTGATGTGTTTTTTGGAAGTAGATGGCACCGTTCCATCATTTTGAGTTGGAGATGCCCTTTCATGGAATTTTCGGGGGACACTTATTGCGGCGGTCTAGATGCTTTGTTGTAGCTCTTGTTTAAAACATTGAAGATCCCACTGTGGTTGCTTCTTGTTGGTCCACCCGGCTTAACAATGAGGACGATCCGCGAAAGGTTTGGCGCGAAATGGTTTAAAGGCAATACCTACGTCCGACCCTTTGGGCTATGAAAGGGGACGCTGCTGCACATGGAACTCACACAAGGGAGTGGGGGCAGGGCAGATTTCGGGAGAACCCGTTTTCTGATTGGACAGTTTGAGAGAGCATTGTTTTGCAAGGGTTGCTGCAGGGCGGAAAAGACATCCCAACCCACATCATCAACAAACGTTTGTCCCCGTCGAGACCCTGACCCTGGGTATTTTGTGCTGGTGGAATGAGAATTGTGCGGCAGCTGGCAGCAGACCGGTACGCTTGTCCTTCAGGCACTGGGCCGAAATGGCGATTGGCAATGAACACTCGAAACGGCGGTAGAACATTTCGCCTTCAAATTAGCTGCCATGCTCAGAGCCCTTGATGCAGTCGATGCTCCAGGTGTTTGTTCAACAGGAAACTGGAGAGACTGATTCCCGAACAGATCTCCTTTTGAGAACCGCCCCCCTTTTTTTGGGATTCCCTTTGTGAATCTCGCATACTAAGTGAGTTGATCCCCCCGTTTTTGGTTCGCAAAAGGGAGACCACCCTTAAAACTGGAATTGGGGGAGTGGTCCCACCTCTGAAATTCCATTTTCTTGTTGTATTTTCTCCCTATGACAAAAGACTACGTAGATCAATGGCGTTGGGTCCCGGACCAGCCCCAGCCCCCCCACCCCGACCCCGAGCCTTGCCACCCCCGCGGCCTGGGGATCGCAGGCGGCTCCGCTGATGCCCTTCTTCCCCAAGCTCCTGGCGCAGCAAGCTGCCCTGGGCGCCCGCCAGCCCAGCGTGAGCGGGGGCAGCGGGGCCAGCGGGGGCCGCAAAGGGGCGTCGTGACCCGAAAAGAAATGGGTCATGGCAGCAGTTTTGAAGAGTTACCTGGAGACACCAGGTGCCATTTGTTCCATTGCTTTGTCCCTTCCGGCCTGAAGAAGGTGAATGCGGCCCATTGAGGGTGTTCCCCTGGAGGGAGTGATGTAAGGGGAACCCTGTGTTAGAGGATGGTCTTCCAAGGGGCCCCTTTCAGCTTTCATGCTTTTGCAGTGTTAAGCTCCGGTGCTCACGTGTAAATTGCTTTGGGGTCTTCGTATGTTGCCTTTGGTCATGGTGGGGTTGCTTCTTTAGGTATTACAAGTAAACCAATCAAACGTTGTGAGTTCCTTCATAATTGCGGGCAATTCATATAAACCTCGGATTGAATTTGTCATGCGGGATCCGCAGTCGTTCGGATTGGTACCTCAAAACGTGCTATTTTGAGAATTTGTGATGCATCCAAAAGGACAGTTGCAAGGGACATGAACCAACATTTGGCTCCGTTTTTGGGTGTCCTGAAGGGAAAGCAAGAGGCTCAGAGGGTTGTTTAGCAGGGACACACCGAAAGAGGAGCCCCATCAACAGTTGGACACCTGCAATTTTGGGAGGGCGTTCTGTTTCTTGGGGGGGGGGGAGGCTCCTTGGCTTTCTTTCAGTCTTTCAGGGCCCTCCTCCGGAGTGGACCATGGACATTCTGCTGGAGCCGGGTGGCCCGGAGGTTGACATCCTCGCACAAACGAGGAGTTCCAGCCGTGAAGGTCGCTTGAAAGTTGCAAAACCGAGGAATTCCAGCTGTGAAGAAGTTATTTTGAGGATTCCTTCCAAGACTTCAGAGACGTGATTTGTTTGGGGCCCATGGAACACATGCCCAGTTCCACCAAGCCTGTCGCCAGACCAAAAGGACTGCCCCCCACCCATTTTCAGCGTTGCGTTCAGGCAGAGAAGCCTCAACAATGGAGTCCGGGCGGGTGTGTTGATGCCGGGACTTCCCTTTTGTCAGCGGAAGAATACAAATGTCTAGGGGTTGATTCCCCATTCTTTCCCAGCATCATTCTTTTCAACCACCAGCTTTTTATCTGGATTTTTGGAGGTTTTCTGGAAAGATTCGGATCCCTGGAAAGACTGGAGAAGGTACCCCTAGAAATTGGCGAACCTTTGCCCAGCCTTCCTCTGCCCGAGGCAGCAGTATTTAGAGCGCCCTTCACGGTTGCATGACTACACCCCATCAAATCTGTCTTCTTGCCGTGGTTTAGGGGTCCCCCTTAATGTCTCACTTCCTGAGTTCATGAACTTTAATCTTTTTGGGAAGACCGTTTTAGTGGGAAATATACAGTTTGAACGTTTTTTGGGCCATCCACTCAGCCAGCGAGATGTTGACCCCATATGAGCAAAGGGTCCCTGGGTGAAATGTGAGGATTCATCACTTTTGGAGGGGCCAACACCCCCATATTAATTAACGGGTTGATTGATCCGGGGTCCCCAATTAAAGAAATGCGCCCAAGATCCCGGATTTGCAGGGCATCGAGGGTTTGTCTAGCCGAAGGTTTTTGATTCGAGCTATACCTCGCTTAGGTATTGCGCCCTGCACTGCTCCGGCGGCCGGGCACCTAAGGTTTTGAACCGAGGAGAGATCTGGAGTCTCCTTCTGAACAAAAAATGGGATCAACCTTCCCAAACTCAAGTTTTGGTTAGGTCATGGAGACTCCAGGTGCTGGTAGGGGGACGGAGACTTGGAGAGTATGACCTCCACAACCCATGAGCCTCGATCGATTCGAAGCATTTCAGCAAAGACCAACGGCCAAGACATGCGATGCACAAGGCCAAATAAGGCAACTTCCAGCATCTACCCAGCGGGCTTCTTTCCAATTATTGTCCAAGAAGCAGTCGTCGGAGGGCGCTGGCGGATGCAGATGTTGTATTTATGCGCTCAGATGTTGCAACATGGACTGGAGTTTCTTGGACCGAATTGGTGTCACGCGACCATCACTGTGCCAGTATGGAAGGCAGTCTTTAGACCCAGTGGTGCCTTATCCGTTTTGAGGGGGTTCCCTTCAAACATCAACTACTGTCCTGTCCAGCAGCACGGAATCTGCCTGTGGGATCCTGGAAGACAATCTTCCTTTCAAAGGGATGGGCTCCATGGAAACAGGCAGGAAAATCCAATGGACTTCCACTGGTGCCCTGAACATCCACTGGACACCAAAAAAGAGTGCCCAAGTTCTTTCCTATTGGAAAATCCACCGGAAATCTCTGGGTTCCATGGCAACGGGCAGGAGGGTACCCCAAAAAGGATGCGGACATCCTCCTTCCTTCGCCGGGCCCAAGGTGCTGCCGCGCACCTGGCGCAGTTCTACCCGGCGCTGCTCCAGATCTGCCTGGCTGCCGAGTCACCGAGTCACCGAGTCTCGATCCGCTTGAAGCTGAGCACATTTCTGACCCCCGTTTCCCGAAGATTCGGGTAGCAAGAACTTGGCGAGCTTGTGGCCGGCAAATGTTTGGCTGTGGTTGTCAAAGCCGTTTGGGATCCCAGTTTGGTTGGTAGGTGAATTCACCACCCATTTTAGAACCTATGTTAGTGGTTGGATTGGGATGTTCACTGGGGGTACGATTTGCCTTTTGACCCATGGCCATGTGACTTCCATCATTTGCTGGAGGCTTCCTGGGGTAGACTTAGGATACGTTTTACATTTTAGCAGTGACTCAAAGGTAAGCAAACAATGGAATATACTTTCTATAGCTTGGCCTAAGTCTAATCATGCTGCATGTATATAAAGCCAGATATGCACATACATATAAGTATATATATTTTTATGGTAGAGGTCTGGCACCCCCCCCCCGGCCATGGTCATGGTGGCCTTAAATAGGGCCCCACCCCCTCCTCCCCCTGTGGGCCCGCTGGTTTTGCAGGTTATGGTCATCTTGCAGAAGTCCTCTCCCCCCCCCTGTAGGCCCGCTGGTGGGTCAGCTTAGGGCCAAGGCTTCGAGAGTCGTACCCCGGTCGGCAAGCGGCACCTTTTCCCCCCCAAGTGGGGGGGGGGGATACCATTGGGGGGGGGGGGGGCCCGCTCGCGGACCGGAACCATATATGCATTATACACCATTGTTGTGTTTCTCAAGCTGCTCACTTCTTTTGCATTCAAAAGCATTGTTTTTGTCAGTTCTTGTTTATACATATATATATATACCTGCATGTCCCAACAGGTTCCTTTTTTTTGCTGTTTGGAGAAAAACCGTGTTTTTCCTTGACACGGCAATTATTTTTGCAACCAGCGCTTTTACTGTTTTGGTTATTTAGTGGCATGTTGCATCCCTCTTCCGGTCACAGTGCGCCCGTGCGAGCTGTTTGGCTTGCATCGGCCCTCACACCGCGGCAAAGGTCACCAAGTGCGCAGCCACTGCCTTTTTCCCCACATCGCTCGCTCGCCCTTCGTCAGGTACTGATGCGGTGTCTGGTCTGCGTGCGGAGGCGAGCTTGCTGGGGTCGTGTTTCTGCTTTTGGGTTTCGGAGGGCATTCAGTTGCTTTTGCAGGTTGCAGTTGATGGGATGAAGGGATTGTTGCAGTGGGCATGCTTCAGTTTGCGCTGCTGAGCTTGGTGAGTTGGGGGTGACCGACATGTTGCTGTGGCTTCAGGCGTTGACGCTTCATCTGGCTTCCGCTGATGGAGCTGAAGGCCTGGCTCCGTTTCGGGGGGGCGCTGGATTTCGGAAGACTCGCTATGACCTACCACAACCCTCCAGGAGCAAAATAACCCTTTATTCTCAGGAGTTCCCTCTAGCTGCGGGCTCAAGTAGGCACTGCCCAGCAACCTTAGGCCTTAGGCATGGCTAGACTGGCAGACCTTTTTGAGCAGTCAGCCCTTCTCAGAGATCGGGCGAGGACGCAGGGTAAGCTTTGCTCTTGGCCAAGCCCGGCGTTGACAGGGGTGGGTGGGATGTCAACTTTGCTGGCCAACTTGGAGGCCACTGAGATCCTAGCATGTTGGTGGTGCCCTTTGTCAAACAAGGCTGCGCCAGTGTCGATTGACATCCTCAGGCAAGAGGCATGGATGTTGAAAATCGCAAACTTATGGTACTGGATATCTGATGAACCCGCGAATCCTCAGTTGTGTTTTTGGGATAAATCTAATTTGCGACCTGGCCCAAACGTATGATACTGCATTTCTGATGAGCCCGCAAATCCTCAGTTGTGTTTTGGGTGATAGATCTAAATGCGACCTGGGCCAAACTTGTGGTACCCGATTTCTGATGAACCCGCGAATCCTCAGCTGTTTTTGTGGGGATAGATCTAATTTGCAACCTGGCCCAAACTTATGACACTGGATGTCTGATGAACCCGCATATCCTCAGTCGGGGATAGATCTAATTTGCAACCTGGTAACAAAGCAAAAAGGTTCCAGGATTGTCAAGCCAACGAGCCCCGCTTTTGCCCAATCAAGAAGGCTAGCTGCTTTTCCACAGTCTAAGGATTTATGGGAGAGAATAAGCACTCACCCATGAAGGTGAGACAGTGGCGAGGGCTCATGGGTCTGGATCCTCGTGATGTCACCCGGGTGAACTTAGACAGCTGGGGGCTTCGCAAGATAATGAGCTATGCTTGCAGAAGGTGGCTCTCAGGCGCCGAAGGCCCACGGGATCCTTGAATCAACTTGAGCAAAGCCTTCAGCCAATGCCCATCGACTCATCGCCCTTTTTCTTTGTTGGATTTTCCTTTAGCCCATGGACCTTTGTGATTTGTCAAAATTCCCTTCAACTTGTCGACCCTTTGATTGGTGTGAATGCCCATCAACTCATTGGCCCTTCAATTTGCTGAATTACAGTTTCATGGCCCTGCAAACCTAAGGACCCCTTGCTGAAAGGCCTGTGGGAGACTTTTGACACGTATTGGGATGCCCCACCAGAACCTTCACCAGAAGAACAACTGCCAGAAGTGTTGGCCATTGAGGATGGCGAGCCCGCTGATGAAAAGGAAGAAACTATCTCCATAGACCATTCTGAGGGTGAAGCCATCGTTGATGGCTATGAATCGGTTTCCGAAAACGAGGCCGACAACAACGGAAACTTTCAGGCGGACCCGCCGATCGCTTTGTGCTCAGCCAGCCCCAGTACCTCGCGCGGCAGCATGTCGATTGCCTCGCAGCCCTCTCGGGAGGAGGTCCTGCAGCGGATGGAGGCGGTGAAGCAAGAGTTGGCAAGCCGGGGTGTGCCGACGGTTGATGCCACAGTTGCTGGCAGGGGGGCAAGCCTTTGTGTTCAAGGACTGGTTCAAATTAAAAACCGAAGACAACACAATAACTCTCAAGCTGGGCAAGTTCACCACACATCTCTTGTTCTCTATGACCCTGAATCTGGTTCAAACCGCACAAAACTAGCTCCGGGTACGTGTCGTTTGTTTCACAGGACGGTGCATGGACAACCTTGAGACCTTGCCCATGGTGGTCCACGATGTCAGCGAGGCCCGCCAGAGGACCGAGGAATGGACGGATGCTCAGCCAAGAGACGAGGACCTGCCAGACACGCTTGACCCGTGGCACGGAGAGATGAAGCCGGAAGAGTGGGAGGAGATTCGCCGCCAGAACGACCTGGATGACCTTGCAGCAGGCCGGAAGCTGGCAAGGCGTGAGCCAGTGGAGAAGGTGGACATCTTGAAGCAGGAGGCGGCTGCTGCTGAACGGAGGGCAGATGAGGCTGCGCGACAAGCTGCTCAGGCTGCAAAGGATGCGGCGGCTGCCATGGCCGTGGCTGACGCTGCGGCTGCTGCTGCGAACGAAGCCGCGAAGGAGCTGAAGCGGCGCCGGGAGGCTTGCGAGGAAGGAGAGGCGACCAAGCTCGAGGCGAAGGAAGCCAAGGAGGCGAAGGAAGCGAAGGAGGCTAAGGAGGCCAAGGAAGCGAAGGAGGCCAAGGAGGCCAAGGATGCCAAGGAGGCCAAGGAGGCGAAGGAAGCGAAGGAGGCCAAGGAGGCCAAGGAGGTGAAGGAGGCCAAGGAGGCGAAGGAAGCCAAGGAGGCGAAGGAGGCCAAGGAGGCGAAGGAAGCGAAGGAGGCGAAGGAGGCTAAGGAGGCCAAGGAGGCCAAGGATGCCAAGGAGGCCAAGGAGGTGAAGGAGGCCAAGGAGGCGAAGGAAGCCAAGGAGGCGAAGGAGGCCAAGGAGGCCAAGGATGCCAAGGAGGCGAAGGAAGCGAAGGAGGCGAAGGAGGCTAAGGAGGCCAAGAAGGCCAAGGATGCCAAGGAGGCCAAGGAGGTGAAGGAGGCCAAGGAGGCGAAGGAAGCCAAGGAGGCGAAGGAGGCCAAGGAGGCCAAGGATGCCAAGGAGGCCAAGGATGCTGAGGAGGCCAAGGAGGCGAAGGAAGCCAAGGAGGCGAAGGAGGCTAAGCAGGCCAAGGAAGCGAAGGAGGCGAAGGAGGCTAAGCAGGCCAAGGAAGCGAAGGAGGCCAAGGAGGCTGAGGAGGCCAAGGAGGCCAAGGAGGCTGAGGAAGCAAAGGACATCCCCACGGAGCCTAAGGAGAATATGGAGGAGCTTGAGAAGAAGGCAGTGGAGAACGCCGTAGAGAACAAGCAGGAGCCGATGAGCGAGTTTCAAGATGTCTCCCATGAGGCCGGCGACGCCCAGACTCTTGAAGCTTTGGGTGAGGAGGACGGTGAAAAGCAGTCTGAGGAGCGCCCCAACACGGAACAGGTCAAGTTGGGGGATGCCGTGGAGATTGAGAAGGAGATTGAGAAGAACGCGAAGAGCAAGAGAACTGCGGAGGCAGCGCCCGCAGAAACAAGCAAGGCCAAAAAGCCAAGGCGGACCTCTGCCAAGTCCAAGCAGAGCAAGCCTGCTGGCAACAACGCGGAGCTCCCCGATCAGGAGTCCAACAACGTTTCTGCCGCTGATGCTCCGAATCTGCTGACCGTGAAGGCCGGAGGGGCGAAAGACCATTTAAGTCCATTCTGATTCATTGTAAGGCCAAGGTCCGTTCTGCGCGTGTTGTAGGTGTTAGGCCAAGGTTTGCGAAATTAGCCTTGCAGGTCCCTCTGGTTTCCCGTCGTCAACAACTCAGCGCTGGCAAGGTTGACTGCGAGAATGAGGAGGAGCATGATGTGGAGATCGTCAATGTGGAGCTGGCTGGCGGCGAAGAAAAGGCCAATGGGCGCGGTCGCGGAGGCGGTGGTAAAGGACGTGGCCGTGGAGAAGGCAGTCGTGGTCGTGGAGGACGCGGTCGCGGTCGCAGCGGCGGCGGGCGTGGTGGAGACAACTGCGATGGTGGAGACAAGCTTGCCGACGTGGTGGATCTCGTGGAGGACAAGGCGGCCCCGTCAGGCAAAGCAAAAGCGAAAGCCAAACCCAAGGCTGTCCCAGACAAGCAACCCGCCAAAAGGGCCAGCAAGAGCCCAAACCCAACCAAAGCTGAGCAGACGCCTCAGAAGCTGGAGGGTGGCGAAGCCGGGCCCCCGCCAAAACGCACAAGAACCAGAAGCGCCTCAGGGCCCGCCACGTTTGCCAGGCGCTTTTGCCCCAAGGGCGAATCCATGAAAGCCCGCTGGTCCGCAATCAAAGACGCTTTCGAGATCCACCTCAAGCCTCGCCTTCAAGCGCCATCCCAGCGACAGGACACGGCCTACAACAGTTGCCCGCACAAGCCCGCAACTCATCCGGGGAGTAATAAACCATCAATTTTGGGAAGTAGCTTTACACAAGCTTTGACTTTCAATTTAACATGATTGGGCAGCCATTGTTTTGCAATTGTTTTTAGCTAAAGTAGCTGGCTTGGGGTCCGTTTGCTCTTCCCTTCTGGCAGGATGAGTTCTACAACCTGTGCTCCCACAATGAAGAGTTCCTCGCTGCCCAGGATTACAAGGGCTTCTTCGAGGTTGCCGCGAAGCTGTGCCAGGAGTTCCCAGGTGCTTGGGACAAAACCGGTTGGTTGAGAAGGGAAGCAAGTTGATAGCTTCACTGCAATCTGTTTGCAACTGATCCCAAACTTAGGACTTTCCCCACACAGTGGTTGCTTCTTTCTGGCTTGCGCTTGTTTAACCCCCAGGGGCAGTGCCACGGAAGAGTGACACTGAGTGAGGGTAGCCTGGCTATGCAGCATTTTGCTCGATGGCCTGAATGGGGCCGGCCATCCCTAGGGGGGCGCATCATGCATGCGCGTTAGTTGCACTACACACGTGCCGTGTCCTGCTGCTCAGCTGCGTGGGGCGCGCCACGTGTGACCTGTCCGAGTGATCGATGAGCCGGTGAAAAGCAATCGCGCCAACAACGATCCAACGCATGCCCCCAATGTTCTGGTCAACGTCGCCTAACCTTGGGTTGTCCGGGAAAGTGGAAAAGCATCCCTCTTGTTGAAATGGTCTTTGATGCCGTTTTGATGCGCTATTTTGATGCTTGCGAAGGGTTTTGTGACTGGACTTGCAAAGCACCCTTTGCTGGCACAGGCTTGGTGCTGGCGCCCGGCCAGA